AAATAATGACGATCATACCGGAATTTCATTTCCGTCATTTCCATTTGTGTATAATGTATTTGATTTACAAGGTTACATTCTAAAATAAACATAGCATATATGTATAGTTTTGATTGTAATTTTAAGCAAACAAATCACACACAGTGCGGTATTAGGTAAAACCATAGTGCTGTACGTACGTATCTCTGATGAAAATTCAGTGTAATTGCATGAACATAAAACGCCAAAGCTCACGAATGTATTTATCGATCTCTCACGATTCGTGATTTTAATAAAATAAACCCTTACTATCGCAATCGTAGATATGCCTCGTAACGAAGTTATATATAACGAAAAAACGAACGCTGCCTGGAAGAAAGCGTTTGCACTTTTGAATAGTAATACACACCCAGGACTGAATCAACAAGAAGAATTTCTTTGTCAAAGATTTCAAAAGGAGGCATCACTGACCGAGCTTGAAAGGACGAGTTTAATCAATCAGCTTCAATATCGTTATGATCAACTTAGAGTCAAAGAATCAGTCAAGACTCGAATATGTGATCATTGTCATATGCAGTGTAATGCAAAACATTACTGTGAATTATGCGTTCGAAAACATTTAAGGGACAACTTTGGGAATTGGTCTTCGGGAAACCATAGGATTGACAGGTTAATTCAAGAATGTCAACAGGGAGTTGCCAGTCCTAGTCACATTGTCGAATGGATCGACTATAAACAGTTGGAAGATGTATCGTATTTGAAAGAGGGTGGATGCTCTACAATTTGTACTGCAACTCGGAAAGATGGTTGTTATTACCGATGGAACAACGAAGCACAAACACTAGAAAGAATCGGTCAACAAAAAGTTGTGCTAAAAAAGCTACATAATTCCGAAAACATTGGTCGAGACTGGTTTCAAGAGGTTGCTAATATTTCTTGTACTGTATTATGATGTTGCACGTGGTAATGCGATAATACATTTATCCGTAAATTTGATCATTAGGTTAAATTGCAATTCACACTTAGTGGTATAGCGGGATCGTTGGCCAATTGTTACGGATTAACCAAGGACCCACAGAGTAAAGATTACATGCTCGTTTTATATTCCTACGCCAATGACCTAAGAAAACATTCGGTAAAAAATACCTCAACCAAAATTTGGGTACAGAAATGTTGGATGGTTTTATGTTTAGCCGGTGGTCTTTATGAAATCCATAGGAAAAGAGTGGCGCATGGAGGCTTACATCCCGGAAATATTCTGTACAATGCCACCGTTGACAGTTGGGTTATCGGTGACATGGGTTTTTGTGGCCCAAAAGACAAATCACCGGATAGCATTTATGGAGATCTTCCGTATATTGCTCCGGAAGTTTTGTGTGGTGAACAACGCACATTTAAGTCAGATATATACAGCTTAGGAATTTTAATGTGGGAAATTGCGACCGCGGAAACTCCATTTGTGCATATGAGTTACGATAATGATTTGGCTTTGGAGATCGTAAATGGTATTCGTCCAAGGATATGTGAAAATATTCCAAAAGAATATGTTCGAATAATGAAGCGGTGCTGGGACGCTGATCCTAAAAACAGACCGAATGCATTGATAGTAAGAAATATGTTTGATGAGTTGTATGTGAAATTGTATAAAAAATCCGTTCGAACGAGGTTTTTAAAACCGATGAAAATAGGCCATTTGGTAAAAAGTACATCAAAAAAAAAGGATGAGCAAGATTTACCCACCACAAATCATGGGCCCAAGATGTACAGAAGTCAGACAAGACTATACTCCTTTCATAATCTTCCTACACCAAGGAATGCAACCTTAAGTAAGCGTCTCTATTTTCACTATTGTTTAATTAAACATCCATTACTAATATGATAGTATTTGCAAATAAATTTATAGAAGAGCAACGAGGTAGTTATGATCATGTATGATTTGTAACGTTAAACAAACATTTAATATTTATTTGTTGTTTTATTCGTACAGCGTTCGACTCGCGATATGAAACATCGATATCATCTGTACTCGCCTCGTGCAGGTTTAATAATTAGACAGTTAAAGATTGAAAATTTGTATATATTTTATATACTGTATGATTGTTAGAGTACCATATGATAAGACTTTCTTCACAATTTAGAGTGCCGAACCACATAAATTTTACTTCATAGGGTATCTATTACTGTATTTACCCGTCTATGGATTTTTTCGTTCATGAATTATAATAAAATTGTAATCTCCATACATATCAATTGATACAATCAATTCTTTCGAGCACATAATCTTCTCGATGTAACAAATAAACTTGTACAGAAAATGATTGTTAAGATTCGAGAGAATGTATTTAGCAGGTAAGAGGATAGAGTAGTGTTATACAATTTGATAACAACTTTTATAGACTCAAGTCGTCAATCATTTGCTCGACAAACTCATGAATGAATGCTTCAAGATACCTTAACGATATGCGAGCGCTGGTTAACGAAAGACTTGTCATTTAACGTTAACAATAAACATGGATTTCAGTTAATAAATGAAAGGATGAAAACTATAACTTTAATAATGATTGTCAACCATCACACTTAATAATTTGTGGCTCAAAGACACTGCTTTATTTAGTTACTGTACTTGTAAAGAAATACTACATGAGCTATTCAAATCATCTCTTTGAAGTTCTTTAGCAACATCAGACCAAACGCATCCGATTAATGAATATGTGGAATGCACAGTTTAATTTCTTTCCACGCTTCGGGCCTACTCCGAGGAACCACCACAATCTTGTAATACTTCCCTTTACATTTCAATTTCAAGGGATCTATATACACATCATAAACTTTCACTTCACCACCTTTCTCTGATGGGAAAACAATTACCTTAAATATATAGCTAATTCCTTTTTCTTTGAAAAGCATTAGCACCTTGTACTTTTTATGACCCTCCTCGTTTAAACCGAAAAAGTCAGAGGTTTCTACGAGACGATCGAGATGAGGTTTGAACTCTACAGGATTAAGTTGACCTTCAAGTGCTCCGTCCGAATTAGCATCTGCGTCAAAATAAGATTGAACGTCTTCGGATTCGGGACCAGGTTCGTGAAAATCGTTTGCGAGTAGCGAGTCGTAATTAAAGCCATTGACGATAGTAGTTTCAGTCGATGAAGAACCACGGGTAGCATGGATAGCAAAGATAGATAAAATGACGAGGAAAAAGAATACACGAACAAGATGAATCATTATGTGAGGTCAGCTGGAAATATGTTTTTGAATGGTAAAAGAAATTTCAGGGTGGTTTGGAAAGGTTCCTTATATACACTCGACTTTTAATGTACATGATAATACTCGAGTCATTGCTTTAGGTGCATTAATCAGATGAAGCTAATCACACATTATAAATGTTAATTTATTATTTTTATCATTTCGAGCTTCGCATACCACAAATCAGAAATTAAAACTTTGATTTGTAAATCAGTAATTAAAAAATATATCTTTGATAACAAGTAGATTTGCCAATAACGATAATGAATCAAGGTAGTGAGGAGTATAATAAACATTCTACACGATACAACTCACTATAGTACGTGTTAACTAAATTCTTTCGGGATAAATATATTCTAAAATTTTAAATTTTAAAAAAAAATGATTACAAAAATCTTTTATTTTATTCAAAATTAAAAATTGTTTGCGAAATACACATACAGTCTGTTGTAAAAGTTTTTGGACTCTTATTTTAGCTTATAATTCAATAACTATAATAGCATAATATAATGTTTATATACAGTATATATTATTTAAAGATTTAAAGATTAAAATTATATTTGAAAATAAGAAATATTTTATTGATTATAAATATATATACATACATATATGAGTAATTATTTTTGAAGGTGAAAAAAATGCTAGATATGATTTTTTCGGACCCAACTTTTAAACAATATAAATTTTAGGATTAATTATCCATATATATATGATTTGTTTATTTTGCTAAAGAAATTTAATAAGTAAAAAACCAATAAAATACATTTATAATTTTTTTTATAATTTTTTTATTAGTAAGAAATTTTTTTATTTAAAAATAAGTTATAATTATTATTAAAATTTTATTAAGATATTTAATATAAACCAAATTATGCTTTTAATTTACATGATTGACATTTTTTACAATAAAATTTTATTTGATAATAACTTTAATATAATTTTCAAAAAATATTTATTAATTGCTTATTAATATATGACCATGTACTTATTTATATTATATAAAAAATGCTTTTTAATAATTTAAATATTAATATATAAAAAAAAACTCTTTCCCACTTCCCCCTAGGCGCTTGAAAATTTCCTTTTTAGGAAATTTTTGAGTTGTTTACTT